GGGGGGGGGAAAAAAAAAAAAAAAAAAAAAAAAAAAAAATCTAAATTTCATGAAATAGCCCCGGCTGGCCACTCGGGGCCCGGGCGGCCAACCTGGTGGCCTAGCTTGTTCAGCGTTTTGGAGTACCTGGTAGCAATTTGCAGCAGCGTAGCAAAATCATCATTACTAGGGGAAGAGCGTTTGGAGTCCTCCCTCCGGCTGGTAGCAAAATCAGGAGGCCACTGTGACTTTGAAAAGGAGGTGCAGTCCATTCGAATTGCAATAATAATATGCGTTATATTAATAATAATAATAAAAAAAAAAAGGTGGTGCAGTTGCAGGCTCCAGAGCCTTGGAAGGTGGCTTCGCCAACTCAGGCTCGTGTGAGTTTGAGGAGGACGATGACCCTAGCAGTATTCCCTTGATTGGTGTTTAGCGCCACAAGGGCAAGGTCTTCGTCCTCTGTTTCAATCTCGGAGTCCCCAAAACTCCGTTGCTCTATGCTTGCGGGGGATAGCAACCGGACTGCTGCCCCCCAGAAGTGGTGGTTTCAGCGGCATATATCGAGAAATGGTCCAATTAAAAAACAAAAAAAAGAAGTTTCGTGATATTGCATGAGATTTTTTGTTTTTGGTGAAATGCATCTTTTTGGGTGAAATTGAAATACGTAAATTGTTTGTTAACTTGATTTTTTTTTATTAACCTGAGATTGAGAAGCATAGATCTCTCAAAACAATGGCTTTCCCCGAAATTGCAGAGACATTTATAAACTGTAATTCACATTCCCTAAAAGAGTTTCGTTAATATGTGCAAAGTTGGTGGGTCAAAGGAGTACTTGGGTTTGATTTTTGTAATCACGAGTAATCTTTTCCAGTACCGGAAATCATGGGTTCCTCCTCCACCCCCCCCCCCCCCCCCCCCCCCCCCCGACCCCAATTAGGAAAACAACAACAACAACAACAACAACAACAACAACAACAACAACAACAACAACAACAACAACAACAACAACAACAACGACAACGGTTCCACCTGACTTCACCGCTACTGAACCTAGTCGGCAATCACGTCAGCCAACCAAATAGACTGACTGGAAGAGAAAAGGAGGAAAAAGGAGGGAAAAATAGGAGGAAAAAGACGAGCCAAGCTCAGTTGATACAGTGCTACACAACCGTGAACTGTCGAAGTACAGAAGCTGTGTTCGAGTCCGGATGGAACTAGATGAATGAAAACAAATAATTCTGCATTTTCCATTCTACTGCTGAGTATCCTTCGGTTCCCAGGAGCATGGTCCAATTAGCAAAGGGGATTGGATTAAGATCCTGAATCTGACCCTGTATTAGGCAGAGATGCAGAAAAGGAGTTCAATCTCGATTTTCTGCACTTGTCCACAAAAGCGGCCAAATTAAGGGTTTCAAATTTTCAATCCAATCCTCTTTGCTAGTGGGACCTCACCCACCATGTTCTGTTACTTGATTGCCATGGGGAGCGGTTCAGCTCACCACCCTGATTTAGGAATAAGTTTTAGAGATAAATCCCAGTCTGTGAACAAAACTCACGCTTGCTGGTATCGGAACAGGACCACCTGGCCCGCCCCCAAACGGAGGTGGAGGGGGAGGAGGCGGGTGGAACGAAGGACAAGGAGGACAAGGTGGACCGGGAGGATGGAACRGCAATGGAGGGGGTTGGAACAATGGGAACGGAGGAGGGAGGAACAATGGAAATGGTGGAAACTGTAACAACGGAGGAGGATATGGGGGAAACTGGAATAATGGAGGTAATGGAGGCAACTGGAACAATGGAGGAGGAAACTRGAATAACAACGGAGGGAACGGGAACAGCGGTGGAAGCTGGAATAAYGGAGGTGGAGGACAGAGACGAGGTCCAAAATGCTACAATTGTGGGCAACTTGGACATATTGCAAGAGAATGCAATAATCAACGACAACCTTTTCAAGGACAACAAGGCAACTACCAAGCTCAGCATACGAACGACGCATCAAGTAGCTCTAACGCCTTTTCGGAAGCACCAGCCACTGCTACGCTAAGTAAGGACGTGGAAAACTCACTCAAGAACATGGCCATATTCGTACAGCGACAAATGGAGAAGGAAGAAGAGGAGAAGCAACAGAAGAAGGAAGCTGATGAAAGGAAAAAGAAAGCGGAGGAAGAAAGAGCCGCGAGGGAAGAAGCGAATAGAATAGCCTTGGAGAGAAAGAAGGCGAAAGATCTTAAGGAGGCGAAAAGGAACTGGGAATTCGAGAAAGTGCTTGCTAAACAGAAAGAGGCAATAGAGGAAGAATTTGAGCGGAGATTAGAGAGTAGACTGAAGGGGGTAATGATCACTGAGAAGATCGTGAAAGCGAAGACGAAGCAGAAAACACCATCACCTGCTAACTCGGACTCTGAAGAAGAAGAGGAAGCATTGCATGATGAGAGATTTGATAAACGAAAAAGACAGGCTGGCCAAACTTCTGGTGGACAAATTAGCCCTGCTGGAACACCTGCAAAAATTGGTCGACAAGAAGCTAATGAGGAACTGCCACCAAGAACCATGGAGGAATGCGACCTGGGTGAAATGCTTAGAGGAAGAGGACGCGTCAGAAAGGAAGGGAATGGGTTCCCTATCCATGATTCTGCCCTGTGGGAAGGCGCTCCAGTTGATGTGGATAGCAAGACAGAAGCGGCCTTTAAGAAGCAAGTACGGAAGTTTCTGACGAAGAAAARCGTACCTACTATCCAAGAGATGTGTAGGGAAGCAGGCATGGCTTACCGAGGAAGACCCAAAGCTATGGACGAACTCGTTGAGCTCCGTACGATGTACTTCTACAGGAAGCTCCGCACACCACGCCGAGGAGGGATCGTGATCCGTGAACCATCAAYCGCAATACGAGCTCCGAGAACACCCTCGACCCAAATTGACCATCTGAATCCGTCAGAAGACTGATATATTTGGAATGATCTTAGGCACTACCTCCACGTACGCCACGAGCTTACCGGTAGAAACGATGCACAAACTAAACGAATTAGATTATTAATTGAGAGGATTCTTAGACTCTGCATTGTTATTCTTGCTTGTCAAGGGGAATTAAACTGGGGAAATAAATTCATTGATAGTTGGGTTCACCTTATTACGAACGAAAGGGATAAATGGGAAAACCCGACCTCTTGTGTATATGTTCTCCTTGACCCCGGATGTCGTGCCTCGTATATTGGACAGACATCCAGACCCCTTTTTGAAAGATGGAGTGAACATAAATATGGTTCCTCAAACCCCTCTTCTGCTAATAATTCACGACTTTATAGTTGGTTTCGTAACTGGGGGATTAAAAATTATATTGCCGTACCTATCGCTTTCGTCCCGACTCATGATCTTATCAGCGTGGAGAAAGTCCTGATTAAAAGATGGTCTCCGTCACTCAACTCTGCCTATCGAAAGAATACCTCCTGTAAGAAGAATCGAAAAGGCAGAAAAGAACGCAAACGAGCTAGATGCCATCAATTCCCTAACGAGCGGCCTATAATTTTTAAGACAGAAAATTTAGAATCCGTTAATTTGATAAAAATATGTAAAGCTGCTAAGGTTGGAAATAGAATTCTCTCATCTTCTGGTGGCAGAATCTGGGTACCGGAATGGGGAACAATCCTTCGAGAGATTGGACTTAGCACGTTTTCAGTCAATAACTCAGCCACACCTCTGACGAACATAAAAGAAAAATTGGAACAAGGAGGGAATTTTACTATCCTCCAGTTAMAGGGYGGAACACTGRCGAAACGTAATAAAGAATTAAAAAGTYATCTCTTTAAATTASTAAAAAACCCTTGGGCTAAAAAGAAGCTAYACCGACTGTCAAAGGATGARCTCCTAGAACTGTTTTTGGCWAYRAACCTTTTTAGCAAGGAAATCTGTCGCGGATTGCTGAGAGATGTGATAGGTGGTGTCCTATGGAAAAAGTTTAAGTTCAACACCCGTAGAAAACACTGTGTGGCTATTTCTTTTGATGATGGATTACGTAAACGAGAAATTAGACGAGTAGTTTCTKATCACTTACTTGACTGCCTCCCGTTGTCCGAAGCTACATACATGTGTAAGAAACTCAGAACGATCTGGAGAGAAAACAGAACGGTTGCTGAGATTCTCCATACTCACCGATCTGCTGCTCAGACACCGGTGGGTATCTGCAGTTGTGCAGACCATAACCTCCCAACTATAGGAGGACACGTGCTATGTAGGGTGAGTACACTRGAAGGCATCGATTGTTTTTTCAAAAATGCTAGAAACCTCGGATACTTACCCCTCCTGATGAGGCTAGAACTGGCTCTAGCCGAAACCGGTCGAGGGAAGCCAGACARCCATCACCAGGGTTAGCCTGGCTATGGCTTCCTCTTGAGCTTTGTTGCAGATCTTTCGAAGAGATACTCTTGGTGTTGCAGAAGAGTAACTTCTGAGTAATTTTCGAGTTTTCACATATTCTRGMGGGTTKTATTTTTCAGCARCTTGCTTATGTGTCGCGTGCCGCTGATCTCAGTCGACGCTGTGATTAGCCTTCGCTTTTTCCAATCGTAAACGGCAGTGGCAACCAGCCAGGAGGCGATCACCTGGTTTGGTGGCCCTGTAGTAGTAGTAGAAATCAGATGATTACCTTACTCTAGCATACTAGTATTGCACGTTAAATTAAGTAGATAGTGCTCACATTATTGTGGAAGACATTCTTTGTCACTCACGTATTGATCCTTGGCGATCACTCTACGAAACAAGAAGCGAAGATCGGACCATCACCAAGGACTGCGAGCCGAAGAACATATTCTAGATGAGCGGAGGGTTCRGCTTCGGCTTCGAAACAGGACCACCTGGCCCGCCCCCAAACGGAGGTGGAGGGGGAGGAGGCGGGTGGAACGAAGGACGAGGAGGACAAGGTGGACCGGGAGGATGAAACGGCAATGGAAGGGGGTTGGAACAATGGGAACGGAGGAGGGAGGAACAATGGAAATGGTGGAAACTGTAACAACGGAGGAGGATATGGGAGAAACTGGAATAATG